GGGTTGTTTTTGTCTTTGTATCTCTATATTTGCCGTTATTGTAATATAATAATCGTACTGTTTTCGTACATTATCTATCCACTGCAGGACGAAGGTCTCCCATCGTTGTGTCGGTCTTGGGGGGGGCATGTTTGACCATACTTCACCAAAGATGGTCAGAACGAGTTGATGAGAGGTAGCTGGGATCGTAGCGCGGTGAGGAAACTTCTCCACCACCGTTCCTCGCCTCGTGCTCGCGTGTGTGGAAGTGTGTGTGTGTGCGTGTGTGCGTGCGTGTGTGCGTGTGTGCGTGCGTGTGCGTGTGGAAGTGAGTGTGTGTGTATGTGCGCGTGTGTGTGTGTAGAAGTGTGTGTGTGTGCGTGTGTGGAAGTGCATGTGGAAGTGCGTGTGTGTGTGCGTGCGTAAGTGTGTGTGCGCGTGCTTGTGTGTGTGGAAGTGTGTGTGTGTGTGTGCCTGTGTGTGTGGAAATGTGTGCGTGTGTGTGCGTGCGTGTGTGGGGACAGTAGGGTAGCGGTTCGCGCGCTGCGCCACGAAAGCGGCGAGTTCGAATTCCGCTCACGACCAACACCAGTGACGATTATCTGAACCGGTCCTGAGCCTCCCCTAGGTCGACTCAGGCTCACATGAGTACCTGGTGTGGTGTTTAAACATTGCCACTGGGGAGACAAAGGCGGCCGGGCATGGTGTTGGCCACCCACCCCCCTCGTGGACAATGCCCGCCTTCTTAGCTGCTCGCTAACGGCACTTGTCCCCAGCAGCATGTGAAGGCTACACGGGGATCTTTGTCTGTGTGTACACGTGTGTGCGTGCGTCACAGTGTGTGGGAGAGTGACCGCTCCCCGCTGCCCCCGGGGAACCCACGCGGCTCCGTCACTCGACGCTCGGGTCACGGTCACGTGATCGGCGACAGACTCGCGAAGCCGCATTCATCACCATCAGCAGCAGCAGCGGCATCAGTGGCACGGCGTGCAGGCTGCAGGCGTCGTGCCGGCCTCAGGCTGCACGCTGCTACCGCCAAGATAGTGACGCTGCCGAGAGGCGCGTGGACAGCGCGACGCGCAAGCGGGCATTGCCGCGCCGCGTGTCTGCTCAGGGCTGACAGCAGCCACTGTCTTGGCCATTGTGAACCGCACTTGTGAGCAAGCGCTATGGATGCAAGGGTTGGCGGGTCACACAAATGTTTAAAACTCCGAATCCGGCTGCACTGCGAGGTGGTCAAGAATAGCAGAACGGCAAGTGGGGTTCGTAAGCTCGTCTGTTTGGACCTTTTGAGTGCTGCCCCATTGCAGGCATTCACGAATGGCGGCTTTGGACCCACACTGCAAAAAATTGTAATTGGCCAAATCTGCCAATGCAAACCCCTGCATTGGCAGGTGCGTGCAGCACCGCGTCACATCGCCGCGGTGTGTCCGGGACTCGCGGGGGACTGAGCGCACGAACCAGTGGACGGAGCCTCGCGTGCCTCTGTCGCGGTCACACATCATCTTACAAAAAAGTTCATCAATTATTCAATGTTCCGCTGGAGGGCACGCGACTGCCCTGCCTGGGAAGGAGATGATGGAGTTGCCTTGCGTGAGGTGCTGGATTAGAGGAGGAGGCCAAGACGCCTCCACGCATGTTCCGTCGTGGAGCGCTCCCGCCGGAGAGAGTGACAGGAGCTACCGTGGGGCCCGTCTGGAAACTAAGGGGACCGATGGGCATGGCTAAGGGGGCAAGGTTCGTGTTGCAGAGTGGACGCACGGGCAGTGCTGGGAGCCACGCCTGTGGTCTCCTCTAGACTCTCCGCGCTCTGCGCTGCGAGTGCCACGCAGCGACCGTGCGCGCCGCGTCCCAAAGCCTCGCGTAATCCGGGGGATGGGCGGGCTCTCTCCCGCGGGATTTTACTGCCGTGGATTATTCACGAGGACGGCAGAGACGCGGAGCAGCTGGACTCCTCGCTCGCCGCGTAACGCGATCGCCTCGTCGGCGGCGACTCGGCGTAATCGTGGGTGAGCGAGACGGGATGATCCGCACCCCCGTGCAGGCGATACGGGCACGCACAGCGCACGGCTGAGGGTCGCCTTACGAGCCCGGCGTGTGACTCTGCTGCTCGGCGCCCCGACTTATACATTTCTGCCGCGTTCGGAGCCATAAAAGACCGGAGGTTGCGTCGAGAGCGAGGCCGACGTGAGACCTTGAGACCTCTGGGCCGTGGACCCGTGGAGCTGTATCGATCGCATGCCTCCTCCCTGCGCATCGATCGCGCGGTGGCGCGGATACTCCCCTTTGCTTAAACAAGTCACTTCGGGAATGCATCCCTCGGCGATTCGCGTCGCTTCAATCCCGATTCAAATAAATCTCCGCACTCGCACGAGAGCGCGCGTGGTGGTGGCGCGACCATAGCCCAGTGCCGGATTCGGTCTCAAGGGGGAAGTGCGGGGTCACGACCATTACTCGTGACCTCGCCGCCCGAGCCGCGCGTGATGAGTGGAGGCGCTCGATCCCACGGGAGCCCGGCGGGCACACGGGGTGCGGACTCGGCGCGGACGACCAGGGCTCGAGCAATAGCTGGGGCCGCAAATAAAGGCGAGACGCGGAGACCAGCCCCGAGCACTGTGCGCAGCGGGGAGTGAAGGCTGTGGGTGAGGACCCGACCCAACGCCTCCACGCCGATGTGGAGCCCGTGGCCTCCTCCTGTCGCTTCCACACTCCAACGGCACAATCCCCGTGCCGCGTGCGATGCTGGGACGAGGTGGGACGCACGCCACACGAATCGCGCTGTTCTCTCGTGTCATGAAAAAATTTCGAATGAAGAACGGTTTCATTCCGTTAAAGGCAGAATTGTTTAGACTCCTGACTCTAATCCAGATGTCTGGCTCTTATAGAGACTGGTGGCTCGAGACGATCACTGCAGCTGCCGCGCTGGGTGCATTTCAAGCGGAGTAGCGAGTCTGGGCAGCACAGAGAGGTGGGGCGGGGGCACGGATACGCACCCGAGCACCACTGGAATCGGTGCCAGGCGCAGCGTGGCCACGGCTCGGCGCTGGCTTAAGAACGATCGCCTTTGGTGCAAACATTTTAATTTGACTCGCGTCGTGCTGCAAAGATGCTTAAGAGGCAGTGTGGATCTCCTGGGTCCTCTCGTGGCTTAAACCCGGCGAGTGTCTCTGGCCTGTAGGGGAGCCGGGCCGCCTTCGCGAGCTGGGAACTGAGCGAGGTTTCTGGGGACGCGGAGAGGCCGGGCGCCTCCTCATCTCTCCACACTTGTAGCACACGCGCCCAGCCGCAGGGTCAACCCAACTCCCTTCCCCTCTGCGCTGCCCCCCCCCCCTGCTCCCTCGTCATCGATGTGTTCAGGAGTTCAGTGGCAGCGACGAGACCGAGAAGGTGTGAAACTCCACCTCGGGGCTTTCGTGTGACGCGTGCAGGCGGACTGATTAATGGTGGGAACGCGAAGGCAAGAAGAGAGTGATGGTGATTGGTGCGTCACTGCATGCGCCCGCAAGGCGGCAACCCGCTGATGATGAAGCGGCAGCCATCGCATTCCAGATACTCCACGAATCCACTTGCACGCGTTATCACCCGAGACTGGACAAACCCGCCAGAAATGTGTGGCCTCCTCAACCTGGAGCCGCGAGCCGCCACTGGGCTATGCGCTGAGTGAACGCAGAGGAGCGGGGGGAGAGCGGTGCGCTGGGACGTTCGATGCGTGATTTTCTGAGGCCGCGGCGGCCCTCTGATGGACGACGTGGCGATTCGCTCGAACCGCGAGCCACACGGAGAGCGGGGGACGCGGGGACGAGACGTGGTGCCACGGGGCAGGGCCTAATGCGAGTGCGAAATGCCGCCGCGTGGCGATGAGGGGCATGAGGAACGCTGCTGGCGGCGCGGAGCAGCCGTGCCCCTGTGAAGCACGGAGTGGAACGCCTTGTGAATGGAATGGAGCGACAGTGGTGCGTGCGTGAGTGCGCGCTAATTGTGGTTATCGGATAAAAGCTGACGCCACGGGCCGCTCTAGCATCAATGTTTAATGATCTCTGCTGCTGCTGATGACGATGCTGCTGCTGCTGCCGGCGAAGCGCCGCGCGCTCCCCGCCACCTGCCAGGCGACGCGCGTGGCAGTCGCGGGGAGCAAACGGCGAGGGGGGCCCCGGCTCCATTTCCCAGGGAACGCGGCGCGCTGAGCCCGCGGGCGCCGCGCCCCATCCGCGCCGCTCGCACAGCCAGAGAGGGAGGCGAGGGAGAGGGAAGGGGGACGCGAGACGAATTGCAGTCGCACTCAGTGTAAGCGATATGTAAATGCGAGCGTCCCCTGGTTAATTTGCATAGAGAACGAGCGGTAATCTCCGGCACGGGGGAGGGGGGGGGGGTGGAAGAGTTCGCACTCGACCCAGCCCGCCCCCGTCCCCCTCCCGTGGCCGTGAGATTGCGTGAGACCGAGGGGCGCCGCGCGACCCCCTCTGCCTTGCGAGCCGCGGAAATCTCCGAGATGGGGGTGGAGGGGGGGGCTTGGGACGCAGCTTTATGGGGTCCGGGCTCGACGTGGCCCGGGTTGAGGTGGCGACCTGGGACCTCGGTGTCGGCGCCCCGGGGGTCGCAGCTCAGCTGGTGCGGGGAGGCTGATGGCGCTCGCTGCGCGTCGCCTGTCTCAAGTCGTCTCGGTGCCGTGTGGACGGCCGTGCGTGTTCGTATATTTGTGTGGGAGCGGTGGTGGAGCGGTTAGCGCGCTGCGCTACGAACCCGGCTTCCCAAGTTTGAGTCCCGCTCACGGACAACGCCAGTGACGATTATCTGAACCGGTCCCTGGGCCTCCCCTAGGTCGACTCGGCCTCAAATGAGTACCTGCTGCGATGTATAAACATCGACCACTCGGAAGACAAAGGCGGCCGTGCGTGGTATTAGCCACCCACCCACTCGTGTGCCGTGCCGGCCTTCGTAGATGTTCGCTGACAGCACTTGCCCCTACGGTCTGTTGCAAGGCTATACGGGGGATCTTTGACTTTGTGCGTGCGCCTCTGCAGGAGCTGCAGTTCGAGCGGCTGACGCGCGAGCTGGAGGCGGAGCACCACAGCGTCGCGTCGCAGCTGCAGCGCTGCCGCCTCGACTCGGAGGCCGGCAGCGCGAGCAGCGTCAGGTGAGGGGTGGGGGCAGGGGCAGCACTCACCACTCAGCAGCTCACCACTCACCATTCAGCACTCAGCACTCACTACCACCACTCACCACTCACCCTCACCACCCACCACTCACCACGCACCACTCACCCACTCACCCACTCACCACTCACCACTGAGCAGCTCACCACTCACCGCTCACCACTCACCACTCACCCACTCACCACTCAGCACTCACTACTCACCACTCAGCAGCTCACCACTCACCGCTCACCACTCACCACTCAGCAGCTCACCACTCACCGCTCACCATGCACTACTCACCCACTCACCACTCAGCACTCAGCCACTCACCACTCAGCAGCTCACCACCACCACTCACCCTCACCACCCACCACTCACCACTCACCACGCACCACTCACCCACTCACCACTCAGCAATCAGCCACTCAGCACTCACCACTCAGCAGCTCACCACTCACCACCACCACTCACCACGCACTACTCACCTACTCACCAGTCAGCAGCTCACCACTCACCATTCACCACTCAGCAGCTCACTACCACCACTCACCCTCACCACCCACCACTCACCACTCACCACGCACCACTCACCACTCACCACTCACCCACTCACCACTCACCACTCAGCAGCTCACCACTCACCACTCACCACGCACCACTCACGCACTCACCACTCACCACGCACCACTCACCCACTCACCACTCACCACTCAGCAGCTCACCACTCACCACGCACCACGCGCCCACTCACCACTCAGCAGCTCACCACTCACCACTCAGCAGCTCACCACTCACCGCTCACCACTCACCACCACCACTCACCACCACCACTCACCACCACCACTCACCGCGCCCAACTCACCCACTCACCACTCAGCACTCACCACTCACCACTCTCCCCTCAGCACTCACCACTCACTACTCAGCCACTCACCACTCAGCAGCTCACCACTCTCTACCTCACCACTCACCACTCACCACTCACCCACTCACCCACTCACCAGCTCACCACTCACCCACTCACCCACTCACCCCTCACCACTCACCACACACCACTCTCTACCTCACCACTCACCACTCACCCACTCACCACTCAGCAGCTCACCACTCACCCACTCACCCACTCACCACTCACCCACTCACCACTCACCACTCACCCACTCACCACTCAGCACTCAGCAGCTCACCACTCTCTACCTCACCACTCACCCACTCACCACTCACCCACTCACCCACTCACCACTCAGCAGCTCACCACTCACCACACACCACTCTCTACCTCACCACTCACCCACTCACCACTCACCACTCACCACTCAGCAGCTCACCACTCTCTACCTCACCACTCACCACACACCACTCACCACTCACCACTCACCACTCAGCAGCTCACCACTCAGCAGCTCACAACTCTCTACCTCACCACTCACCACACACCACTCACCCACTCACCACTCTCTACCTCACCACTCACCCACTCACCATTCTCTACCTCACCACTCACCACACACCACTCACCACTCAGCAGCTCACCACTCTCTACCTCACCACTCACCACTCACCACACACCACTCACCACTCAGCAGATCACCACTCTCTACCTCACCACTCACCACACACCACTCACCCACTCACCACTCTCTACCTCACCACTCACCCACTCACCACTCTCTACCTCACCACTCACCACACACCACTCACCACTCAGCAGCTCACCACTCTCTACCTCACCACTCACCACTCACCACGCACTACTCACCCACTCACCACTCAGCAGCTCACCACTCTCTACCTCACCACTCACCACACACCACTCACCCACTCACCCACTCACCAGCTCACCACTCACCCACTCACCACTCTCTACCTCACCACTCACCACACACCACTCACCACTCAGCAGCTCACCACTCTCTACCTCACCACTCACCACTCAGCAGCTCACCACTCTCTACCTCACCACTCACCACTCGCCACTCACCCACTCACCACTCAGCAGCTCACCACTCACCGCTCACCACCACCACTCACCGCGCCCAACTCACCCACTCACCACTCAGCACTCACCACTCTCCATTCACCACTCACCACTCACTACTCACCCCTCACCCACTCACCACTCAGCAGCTCACCACTCACCACCACCACTCACCACTCAGCAGCTCACCACTCTCTACCTCACCACTCACCACACACCACTCACCACTCTCTACCTCACCACTCACCACTCACCACTCACCCACTCACCCACTCAGCAGCTCACCACTCTCTACCTCACCACTCACCCACTCAGCAGCTCACCACTCTCTACCTCACTACTCTCTACCTCACCACTCACCACACACCACTCACCACTCACCACTCAGCAGCTCACCACTCTCTACCTCACCACTCACCACACACCACTCACCACTCACTCACCACTCAGCAGCTCACCACTCTCTACCTCACCACTCACCACACACCACTCACCACTCACTCACTCACCACTCAGCAGCTCACCACTCACCGCTCCCAACTCACCACCACCACTCACCGCGCCCAACTCACCCACTCACCACTCAGCACTCACCACTCTCCACTCAGCAGCTCACCACTCACTGCTCACCACGCACTACTCACCCACTCACCATCAGCACTCACCACTCACCACTCTGCCACTCAGAACACACCACTCAGCAGCTCACCACTCACCCACTCACCACTCAGCAGCTCACCACTCACCACTCACCACTCACCACTCAGCAGCTCACCACTCTCTACCTCACCACTCACCACACAGCAGCTCACCACTCACCACTCACCACTCACCCACTCACCCCCTCACCACTCACCACTCACCACTCACCCACTCACCCCCTCACCACTCAGCAGCTCACCACTCACCACTCAGCAGCTCACCACTCTCTACCTCACCACTCACCCACTCACCACTCACCCACACACCAGCTCACCACACACCACTCACTAGTCACCCACTCAGCAGCTCACCACTCTCTACCTCACCACTCAGCAGCTCACTACTCACCACTCACCTACTCACCACTCACCACTCAGCCACTCACCAGCTCACCACTCACCACTCAGCCACTCACCAGCTCACCACTCACCACTCAGCAGCTCACCACACAGCCACTCACCACTCACCCACTCACCACTCACCCACTTACCAGCTCACCACTCATCACTCAGCAGCTCACCACTCACCAGCTCACCACTCACCACTCAGCAGTTCACCACACACAGCCTCGTATAATGAGCTCCACATCGAGCCCGCGACGTGTGCGTGAGCTGCAGGTCTGATGCACGAGGCCACGTGCAGCCCCATGCCCCCCTAACAGCAGACGCTTGGTACAGCGCGCGATCAATAAACACAACGCGAGGTAACGGGCAGCCACGCCGCTGTTGATGAGACCTGGAAAGTCTCCACCTTGGCGTGGTCTGCGTGCGTAGGCCACGAGCTGCTGGGGGACAATGACCCCTTGACCCTGCGCGACCGAAGGCGATGGACATCGCGTGCCTGCTGTGCGTGGCTCCGTGGAACAGAACCTTGCCTGTTGCTATTTTACACGGTGGTTAATTCGCATTTGTCACTTTGATTCGCCACGACGCAGATGATTAGATTTAAGCTTGCAAGATTGTATTCGTTTAGACTTTTGATTTGTTGAGAGTTATAGTGTTGCGTTGAACCAGCACACCGAGAGTCATTGCCTATGTAGGGCTGTTACAGAGGGTCTGTTTGTGTAGGGCTGTTTACATAGGGGCTAATGGAAAACAGACACAGTGGGCGGGGTCTCCGTGAGCACACGGGGTGGTGCCCGCAACGACGTCCGTACTGGACGGCGTGAGGGGGGTTTCGATCCTCTAACGGGGTATAAAAAGGGTTGAGCCAGAGAGCTCGGGGCTCAGTCTTAGAGTAGTTAAGAGAAGAGAGAAGACCAGCCAGATAGGCCCTGGACTCCCCCTGGGACGCCGCCCTTGTAAGGGCAGTGCAGGCTGGAGCCAGTGGCGTGGTCCCGGAACCAGAGTCAGACCTCTGGGATTCCGGGTACCGTAGCCCGACTAACCAGTGTCGGGCCAGACAGCCTCCCCTAGCCCGTTAGCGGAGGACTCAGCTAGGAAGGCTAGCTAGGGGTGAATTCCCAGTTGTACGGGTGAGGGGGCCGATACATCCCTCTAGTACTGTAAGCCCTTTGTGTAAATAAATACGTGTGCCTTACCCCGTTGTCCACGCGTCTTCAACAACACTTCATCTGGCGTCAGAAGTACCAAGAACATGGACACGCGCCAAACAGCTCGAGCCAGGGAACAGCGGGCGGAGGACGCCGCCGAAATTGCCGAGCCCGAGATGGCTCTACTAGACGACGTGCAGCCGGGGCCGGATGCGGGCTTACCGGAGCATCGCCATGAAGAGGAGCAGCGGGGAGACGACCTGAGGCTGGCTCATGAGAGGCTGGCGGAACTGCTCTACGCCGCTGCCGCTGCGCTGGGGGACATCACACGGCTGGCGGCTGGTGGTCCACCGCGGGGCGAGAGGAACCGGCGTGTGGAGCGTCTTCCCGCCATTTCTGAAGATTTAAATTTTGAAATTCCCGCCATCGACACAGCGACCGCTAGGGGCGTGGCCAACCTCAACCTGGGGTCCGACATCGGCCGCGCTGGGGCTGCTGCATCAACGACGGAGGAGGGCGCGTCATCAAAGCTGCGACAGGCGATGCCATCTGCCATTCGCGCCGAGACGCAGCCGAGTCGGGGAGGCAGCAGTCCACGGGACTCCACGGCAGCCGCTGCGCTACACCAAAGGCTGCCCCCGCTTAAAGAATTCGTGGGCGCAGAGGGCGACTGGAGCGGCTTTCAAAGACGCTTCCTCGCCCACCAGGAGATGGCTAAATGGACGGACGAAAAAGCTCTCAGCGCCCTGCCGGCGCTCCTGGACGGCGACGCGCTTGCCGCCCTAACATCGGCACCCAAGGAAAGGCGCTCCACGTTACCGATGGCG